CAGAACAATTGTTCTGGTTTCTGTTTTGCCTAAAACCAGATGAAAAAATACGGTCATGCTCACCAGTTGTATTGGCGGTAGCAGGAGCTGATTCACCAACTCCAACAGGAACTTGTGTTAGGGACTAGGGACGTCATTTCTCTGTAACAGGTTTCCTCTCTCTGAACGATCCTTGATAATGCCATACATTTGGATCATCAGCCATGTTACTTTCAGTGACAAACTCATCTGGATGGTGTCGATCAACTTCACAGCTTTTCTTGTCATCTTGAGGTGGAACATGAACCTTACGCTGGGGACGACGATCTCTCTTTGAAGCCCTATCAGTTACCATGTCAACAATTTCAGTTCCGGAAGCTCTGCCTCGGTACTGATTATTTTCTGAATCCATGTGACACTTGGGCTGCCAATGAGATGATATTTGCTCCCCAGAGCTATGACTTTCTTTTGAAGAAATAGTTCTGTCTGTATGGTTCACATCAGTAGCCACATAATCACTAATAACAATATTTATTTGTTTAGGATCATTATTTTTTTCCCATGCTTTTATGGCCCTTGGATAGATATCGCTTTCCTCTATCTATTCCTACCTGATCTTTCACAGCAAGAGATCTGCCACCTCCAGCTGATTCAATATCATTGGACATGTTACTGCAATCTAATGTGTTGTTCTTGCTGGAAGTATTTGGTTCAGATTTTGATGCATTTACTTCATGCTTCATGAATTGATTTTGGTCTGTTGATCTTTAAATGTCCTTGCTTGGGTTAGAAGTAGCAGATGGTCCATGATGCACACTCTTCTCATTCGATGGTTCTGTAAAATTCCGTTGTCGCCATGTTCCATGCGCTTTTCCTTGCTTGTTATGCGTGCCATCTCCCTCCTCGACGTCTACACCAGACCCAACAATTCCAGTTGCATAGATGGTAGGTGGTGGATTTGCAGATCTAGCTGAATCAGGTAGTGCTTTACCAGCAGCCTCTTCTGGTGCAGGACTGGCTGAAAATGGCACTGGTTGAATACTTCCTTGCTGTGCCAGCTCCTTAGCTACAGGCTTTGGAACGTATCTCTCCATTTCAACCCTTTTGCCTTTTGAATTATTCTGAACCAGATTATCAATCTTCACTGGAGTAGCAGATTCAGGAGTAGATTTTTGACATGCTTCAACTGCACCCTCAACTTTGCTTTGTGAATGCACAGGAGCCCACATAAGAGCGTCATTGCTATGAAATTTATCCACCATCCTATTAGCCTGTAGACTTCGTGGCATTCCGCAAGACTGAGGTTTCCACTGTTTGCTTACTCTGCTATGGGCTTCTTCTTCATGTGAAGCCTGCACCTCTGAAGCCTGTACTCCTCCATCAAGCTCAATCTTTGCTGAGACTGAGCCATCCAAATCTGACAACGAAGCCTTGGACTTCCCATTTTCAATGTACTCTTTTGCAGGATTAGTCTCCTCCCGTATTACTAACGGTATTGGAGAGATTACTGCAGCTTCATCCAGTCTCTGCTTATTCTTGCTAATTCTATGACTTTTTCTTCTCTAATGTGTGGAGGGTTCAGCCATGATATTGGGAGTTTTCAGTGCAATTGTCTCGCCACTTTCTCTGACGCTTGAAGCAACCTCCATCAGTGTAACATTGTTAACAGATACATCAGTAAGATCTTTCTGTGCTTCGCCTGTGACAATTAGAGCTGACTTTTCATTCAAATTCTTCTGTGATGGATCATTGTGCTTTTGTATATATAAGATTTGCTTATGTCTAGAGACACTTCCCTCAGTAGATTTGAATGCATTTCTGGCACTGGCATTATAAGAATCTTGTTTCACATGTGAAGACTGACCGTGAGAAATATGTTCCAAATGAGATGTCCAAGGTGTCTCCAGGGGTAAATCTCTGGACATATTAGTAGATTCTCTAGCACGGCTCTCTGTGTCCTTAGAAACAACACCAGACTCCAAGACTAAAGTAGGGCCAAGTGCCTGAAACTTGAGGTCTACTGTTGCTTGTTCAGCAAGTATACGTGATATCTTTCTCTTGAAGCTTACTCAATCTTATGATTGAAGTTGGCGGACAAAGCTTCTCTGAGCAAACATAACCTAATCTCTTCAATAGACTCAACCATTAGACACATGGCTCCGTTTGGGAGCCATTCTTTNCATTGAGTATTCTATAATGAGTATAGAAATTGAAATGCATAAAAATGATAATCTAAGGCTCCGTTTGGGAGCCCTTCCTTCTTCAAATAATACATTTTTTCTTTCACATCACGTGAGGTTCATGACTGAAAAGAGACACAAAAAAGGTGTGATTTGACACAAAGAATGTATTTTTTTATAGAAAAATGTTTACCAAACGGAGGCTCAGTTTATATTTTTCCTTTTGTTTCAATTGAATTGAAAAGGGTTAGCCATGTCCATGTGTCACGGGCAGCAGCTTTACTTAAGCCCCGTGACGCTATCGCAGCCGCTGCACTTCGGCTGCACATTGTAAATATTTCATTTAATTGTAAAATAGTTAGAAATTAGAAAATTTTAGTATGATTCCTCGGCCAAAAGACGTCTACTGGTGTCATTTGGGTTTTTGTTGCTAAGTCTATTATAGGAGGTATT